CATAGCCCCCCCCCCCCCCTTACAATGCGACGTACAAAAACCTCAATAAATCTGCCTCATTTGAACTATTTATTCATCAAAGACTCTCAAAAATCAATTTAATAAATTAAAAATGTATAAAAATGTATTTCAAGGCGTTTACATGGGACATTTACTTTATTTTCGTATAGGGGGCCAACTTGCCCCGTCGCGGGGCAAGTTTGCCCCCCTGACGTCAACTGCGATTTTTGTCAAATTGTGAACCATCTGGCAGTATATTTGAAAAATAATGACGTTGCATACGTAGCTTAGTTCATGGGGCTTACTTTGAAACCGGTTTTGTTACTCTAACTCATTCCTAGTTGGTTCTACAAGGCCAAAAGTGACTAACTGGGCCAACTAACCCCGGTCTCCCCTATAGTGGAATTGGGGACTCCTTACGTTTCACTGGTAAAGGTTAAAACTAAGATTCAGAACTCGAAGACGGGTTAATAGAACGCAATTTTCTCAGCATCTTGGTTAGGATATACACTGTGCTTATAATACTTAAAATTACAAAAAATTACATTTTCAGTATAAAAAATTATACTCATAAAATAAATAAAGCTAGTCTTGATATTAATAAATGTAATCTAAATTGGATATGTCACGCTTAAAACCTTTTTTATCACCAATCGGGTAAACATTTTTCTAGATCACATTATACCGGCGAGAGACGTATAGTATATGCAATCACCACTTAAACGTGATTAGATGAAGTGCTTGGAATAAATGTATAAGAATGAGTTATTAGTGAACATTAAAGGAAAAACAGTCGACAACGTAATCAAAATTAAATTTAACGACAAAAATTCGACGCCAAAGTTTCAGAAACATTTCATCAGCGCTTCATTCAGCTACTGAAAGTGGAGTCACGTAATATTTGTGACAACAACTGAGATGAATTTGTCTTTTAAGATAAAATCACTGACGGCTTAAACGTGTAACGTATTAATGCTGGAGTGCATGCAAACCCTTGCATATGAACAACTACATGTGTAGAGTTTTAAACGCCCGATAATAGTATCACGATACGAACACGAAGAAAATCTCTCACCTTCGAGGAACGTCCGGCGCTATAGTAGCTGAAGGTGGGAATCTCTATCGCTGAACAATAGTGATGGTAAACAAGCAAACCTATCTCTCTTATATAGCACTTGTGTCGTGACTGTTTGAAAACTTTCCGATTATACTATCTGATTGTATAAACAAGGTGCATCACGATTTCTTTGTTGCGGCTCTGGGAAAATTCTTACTGCCCATGTTTCTTAGAAAATGATTAAAATTCAAACAACAGCCAAGAGGTCACTTGAGTGATGATGTCCTTAATTTATCAACGATTCTGGTCGAACAGCTCAGAAATATCTAGTGAACAAATACTCTCCGTACGTTGCCCTGGTAGAGGATGCATTCTGGTGCATACTTTTTAGATAATAATTTATTTAATAGATAGATAATAATTTATCAAACCAATAAAATACAAATGTCTAAAATTGGGAATTTTCTGCCCTGTGACAGCGCCATTGTTGAATAAATGAATAAAACTATTTAAATGTATTAAAATAAAATTACGTATTAGTGTTAAAAAGAGTTACTGCTGAAGGATAAAAGCTAGATAAAAGTCGTTTTCAACACTTAAAAACTAAAAACCTTGAGTTACTGGGTGAAAATTAAAAAAAAAAAAATCTATCGATAAATGGAATAAATAGGGATAAGATCCGTTTCAATTACGTACCTGCCGTTTCAATAATCCATGTAATCTTTTCCAGTTTGTTTTCATCCTCTACAGTTGCACGCCTATACCAAACAGTTACTGCATAAGTTAAAATACTTTCTAAAACACACCTATACAAGTTCGTAAAAATAGACACATTCCTGGTAAAAGCTTTCAATTTCCTGAACAAGTACATTCGATGTTTTGCCTTTTTCAATAATTTCATGGTGTTTTCACCCCAGGTTAGTCTACTGTTCAGTTGGACACCCAGTGATTTAAATATTCACAGACCTGTTTGACGGTTTTGCCGTTAATTTCTATGGGACTTATATGGTCTACAATCATTTCTTTTGTTTTTCTCACATTCAGTATCAAGTCATTGTCTGTACACCAATTAATTGAGTTGTCACCGACTGCCTATACGAAGTCTCAACATTGTCATGTATCAGACCAAGAAGTTGTCTCTTTACAACTTCTTGATCAGACCGACATAGGTTGTGTCATCGGCCAACTTCATTAGAACTTCATTAGAAATGTGTTTTCTTCCCTTGCCACACAATTGTGGGTGAATAATGTATATATACAAGGCGTATGTAATTCACTAGCCTACTTTAATAAATTATTGCCAGCAAGAGAAAAAATTCCAATAAATCAAAGTTCCTACGAATAATAAAAAAAAAAGAATTTGCGAAGTTGTCAATTTGTCACTTAGTAAAACAAATTCAACAGCGTAAACAACCTCACATTTGAAATAGCCTGAAATCTGTTCCATCGTATTTCTGAGAAATCGAGACTAGATGAAATGTGAGAGTAGCCGTACATCTGCCTCACCTGCTTGGTGTGAGTTAGGTTATGAGGTCAGGTTGATGACCGACATGTTTACTGGTGTGTTCTTCTCAGTTTATAATTAGTTACCGCGGATTTTTGTCCCGTTTAAAGGCCCTCAACTTTCATACAACGTTACTAGTATAAGATCTGTGCTCATTGAATATAACAATTCAAATAGATGTAAATGAGTGTAAATGTAAATGATTCACCCATTAATCTATAATCATAAACAGAAATGGCATAAAATACCGTGAAAGGAATCAAATCCCTCAGAATTCATTTTTTTCTTCATTTTAGTGGTTTTAACCATAAAAAAGCATAAAGTTTGCAATCTTTCGTAAGAATGGAATTTCTTTTGCGCCCATTAGTATTTAACAAATAGGCCTTTATCCCGATATAGATTATACCGGTATTCATGGAATAAATATCATCATGTGTAACTTTTCACATCACCCTTGTAGGGCATAAAAATTTCAAAGGACAGGTGTAGCGCCATACTTCGAGTAAAAAAGTAAAGGGTACCCTGTCATTACATTTCAACATACAGAGTAGGCCTACGGCTAATACATTTTGTACATGAGCATTTATCTCAGGCAAACCCATTGTTTGTTTATAACGGTGAGCAAGGAGTGCTATGAAAGTCTCATAGAAGCCTCACATAGTAGGCCTACACACCCCTGACACCCATGGTCTTGGTCACTCTCCTCTCAAATAATATTTGGGGTATTTGGTAATTTGGTAATGCACAAGACTGCATTAATTTTTGCCCTTTTCCCTCATAAAACTTTTCTCCCTGTCATTCACATTACACTGAGTTGCACTGAGGCTCCAAAAGGGGAGGGATGATCTACACAAAGAAGAAAACAGTACCCGGAAATACGGCTCACTTTTAATGATATATCATGAAATCACGTACAAGTAGGTTTTGTATATCTCAACTTCGTCAAAGTAATTTTAACTGAATGGCAGATCGGCTGGTTTTGAGAGGGGGTCACAAGGGGTAAACGTCTATTCCCCCCTCCTCCTCCCCCCCCCCCCAAAGAAATATAAATTATTCAAAGTGCAAGGAGACAAATGCAAGCCATCTTCTACTTTCTGTCTAATTCGTCAAGCAAAGCGTAGATATATTTTCTTTTCTTTTCTTTCGCACCACACCCCTCCTGAAACATTAATTAGAATAATTTCCTTTTATGATATTTATTATTTAATTTACTTGTACAAAAAGTCTGGCAAAACATAGATTTTATATATAATTGTATACATCGGATACCCCGTGGTAAAATCCCTCACAAATAATCTTCCATCTCATCACTCATCAATTCCTAGGACAGACAGGTCAGGTCAAGTCAGGCCGGGCATATTTTATATATAATTGTATACATCGGAAACCCCGTGGTAAAATCACTCACAAACGAGTCAAATTAAAATGTTATTTTTCCAGGAATATAGAATTCCCAGTAATCTCATCACTCACCAAATCCTAGGACAGACAGGTCAGGCCGGGCATCTATTTTCAATTTTTAAACTGAACTTGTTTTAATTCCCATGATTACGGTTATAAAGCGTTCTTGGTCAACTGTATCATTTCCTGTTTTTCCGTTGAAACCCTATGGTTCTTTGCACATCTAACGGTAAACTAAACTGGCCGGTCCTCTTAAGCAGCCTCTGACATGCTATTACGGAGATTTTATTCTCTTCCACATTTTCTACACAAGTCCACCCCCTTTTGTTTAGTTCAGTTAATCAGGCCGCGTCGAACGCTGGGGCTCCCTATAATATAAATGACTATTAAGAGTGAACTAACCACTTAAATGTACCGCTTGCTGAGCCAAGGGTCTTATGCTCCTGCTCCAAGCAGGGAATTATACCATAGGTATAATATCTATGGTATAATTCCCTTCTCCAAGGGACTGTACTTTTTTGTAACAGCACAAACCTCTCACCCACGGGCACTACCCATCACTTAAATTGTCCGTCGATGGTCATTCAACTTTTCTGGGACTCTAAGGAACATTTTCCAGTTATTTTTAGTGTTAACTTTTAGGTCATGCTAACCGGATTTCCGCCCCCTATAAATCAGGGTCTGCCGGCCACACCCTACCACTCAATTTCTCTGTCAGTATCTATTTAATATACCTGAGACCATGCTGAAAGACCCCCCCCATAGGTTGCTAAGGGTTCCCCTAAAAAGTCCTGCTAGTTTGATTTGAGGGGCCTATGTTTTGGACCCCCCCTGACCACACCCACCACTGGAAATACGACAGACTGCCATTTTCATACATAGGTAACCAACTAGGTCATTGCCAAGTACAAGAAAATTGGTGTTCTTTTCGGGAATGCTCAACCCTCTGGGATCCTGCTCTATCATCCTAAACANCTCCGTTCGCCATGCGGAAGCTACCTGAGAAATATTAAGTGCGCATGCTCATCAGTTAAACTCGTGGTGAAGAAAGCATGGCGGCTGAAGGCGATCGAAGGAAAAAAGCTCTTCTGTTCTATTATCTTTGAAAACAGAGACGAAAAAGGAATAATTTGGCCCGTAGAGCAGCAATGAATCGACTATCTACGGAGATAATATCACCAGAGATATTCACGGAAATATTAATGTTCGGAGCCGAGATTTAATTACTGTACCCCGCAGGGACGACGTGTGGGGAGGCGTGTGAGAGGCGGAGAGACTATTAAAAGATTAGGCGGTTTTTCTTTCATGTACGTCAGCCATTTTTAGGTCACCGGCTTTGTAAAGCCTGGCTTAATTCGTTGAGAATGCGCTCTTTGTCGTTAGAAGGAAAGGAACCGAGATACCGATAATTTTAACCGCTGCTGCGGGGTTGGTTACCTGGCATTGTTTTAAATGCTTTTACATGTACAGGTAGACTTCCTCAGTTAACATTTGTATGGACCCCTCTAGCTGACACAACTTGAGAAATGTCATCGTAACTGGTACCTAGATCAAATTAACGTTCAGATTTTGAAAAGGACAATATAATAATCAGACATTTTTAAATTCAAGAAAAATTTGAATTTTTATGATGCTAGATAATTGAGACTTTGAAAAGAAATCTCAACAATATTGAAATAACATCCCAGTAACAGAGAAAGATAGGCTAACAATGTGAGTGGAACATCTACCTGAGGTGTGCAATCAGCTGAGCTATCCTCAACGAGGGCGACACGATGGACACTTAAATATCGGAGTGCAAAAATTAATACAATATACGATATCGAAGTTCAAATTAACTTATTTTAACTATTGATTAAAACAGGCTGTTACTATTATTAACTTGTAAAACTGCTGATGATATTCTTTACTAAGAGACCAGTTATTACACTGAAGTTCTTTTATACATTCGTGCGCCATATCAAGACTAGTTTTTACTTAAAAAATCGGCTGTCAATTCATCATTTTCGAGTTAAAATACTGTAAACTTGCGAGTAAAAGTTGGCATAAATGTGAGCCAAAACCACGTGGCTAATATCCGATTTTACAAAGCCCCATAACAATCTGATTTGTATGTCAAAAACATGTCGTAACAATCAAAACAATATAGCCTCCATCGCGCTTGTAATACTTGGGTTTAATGAAAAAAAAAGCAAAGACTAACATAATTTCGTCGTAGAAAGTAAACTCAAAAATCACGTGTAAAATTCGTGTACTGACAGCAAACTCGTTCTCACAGCACGCCAGCACGCGAAAATCTTATAAAATCTCTCTGTATACCTATTTCATGTGTTATGGGCAGGTATTTTGTGATTGGCTCGTTTCTGTTAAGTCACGTTGTTTTAACATAATTAGGGTTCTTTTGTTTTTAGCTCTCTACTGATAAGGACCAGTGATATTGCTGGAAATCGTCACGCCCCCACACGTTCCATTTCCATCCCAGTTATACCGCCATAAATATGGTGTAAGAAAGGCTTGAACACACCGACTCGCAAATACGTAGACTCCATTTTAAAAGGGAGGGGGTGTTAACTAAGACAAAATGCTTTATGCCTTGGTCAAAATATCGGCAACATGTCAATCTGACCGCTAGAGATTGATAGGATGCTTGGAAACTTGTCGCGCACTTTAATTTTTTTTATGTCCGTATACCAATCAATGGTTTTGTGCTTTTCGAGGGACCTCCAATCAACCTGTTGAAAACGCTGAATTGTCTTTCAATTAAGATAACATGCTATATCAGAACATATAGAATAATCACTGAGGGGCTGAATAGTTTTAATCAAATATCTCAAAACGTTATATGCAACGGCAACATTTTATTCATTCAATTTCAAATACACGCGATATCATCCGTTATTTTGCCGCAGAGCTGCATTCTCTTCGAATGGATATCTTCTTCAGCTGAAACAAAAAAAAAAAAAAAAAAAAAAAAAACATAGATTGGAAATTATCATATCAAAAATAATGAGGACAACAAAATTAACTGGGTGACTTTATTATCTTTGTTAACAAACAATACCTAGATATAAATTCAACTGAAGATATCATTCATTACATGATATAAGATTTTTTCACGAAAACAAACCTTATTTCGAAACCGTAAGCAAAACGTACTCCTTTATGAGGTCTGCGTAATATATGCTCTACTTTTTGTGCTTAGAGAACTTTGCCAGGTATAATAAAGATACTAAGCCCAAGAAACCCTTAGGTCCATTTATCATCAGCTCGTAAGATAAGAAAATGTAACCTACATTTAAGTTTTGCATATGCAAGTGCTCTTATCACAATAGCCAGTCCTTTTGCCAAGGACCTTGCAGTAGGTCGCACAGAGAGTAGTCGAAACTCCATTTCCCCAAATATCGCAGGTGACTCGGCGATCACGACTAACATTTTCCGAAATAGGCGATGCACAGACAGCATCTAAAATAATAAAATAATATGTTTACGTTGCGCAGCGCAATTTTCATGGATTTTGAATGAGGACGTTGAATATTTCAAGCCTATTGCTTACATGTATAATTATTCTTCTTTTACGTACATTATGTGTTGTGCACAGCCACCTACACTTACTGGTAGTATAGATAGTATGTTAAAACCTACTAGCATGAAAAGTGAGCCATTTAGAAATGGATATTGGCTCTGGATGTACGATTGTCTTGAAAATACTGCCTTTTAATACGATATGATATATAAATGTAGAAGAATTTGTACTTCCAGTTGTACTTCAATGGTCGCACTTGCTTCAACACCACTCACTTTCAATGTTTTTCCTCATTGCGACAATGGTGAATATTTATGGCCTCCTCATAGTTTTACAAGTTTATGTAGAGCATGGAGCCATGGATATTTATTTATTTTTATTCCCAAAATGTGTTTTTTACATTTAACAGCACCCCTTGCGTGCCTTGCCAATTCTGATCGTATTTTGAGTGTTCTTACAGTACTGCGTTAAGATCCATAACAGTCTCACTGTTAGTTAAGGAAAAATTCTATTGTGAGACACGGGTATATCAACACAGTAACAACAGTGCATTTTACGTATTAATTAATTAATTAATTAATTTGGTGATGGTGACTTTTTTAACCAAACTTTAACATAAATGGCTTGGTGTTTCCACCAAAAATGACTTTCTGAGTCACACAAGTAATGGGTGTGACGATGTAGTGTGTTAGTTGAGATTGTTTTGTATTGCTACCGGTAGATGTCTCTGTTGCGGATCCCACATCAAAACAAACAAACGACGGGAAATGTTCACACTTTATTTCACGCACACTGACATGGATATGGTGAAAACTAAAAATAACAAAATAATGAAAGATAAATACCAAACTAATTATACAAAATACACAAATATAACATAAATTGAATACAAATATAAAAAGAAATAATGAATTAATTATAAGAAACGGAAATGTTGTGCAAATGATTAACAATAGAATTGAATACAATACGTACAGAGAAATGTGGCTTTCCCGTCCAAATGTTGATCCACAAATTTTGCCTACTAAAACTTCAGACTCGGCGACCTGAGCCTTCGCTCGTCAAATACAACGTGGCCGCGCCCAGAACTGCTGCATACAGTATATATACAGAGTAAATGATTTGCATAATAATACAAAGCTGACTAGTGATACGATTGTAAACGCAAATTGTTGTCATAAGCGACAACA